TCTTATACGTGGGGAAATACGGTAGATCTGGAAGCAAGAGGGTGACCCCACACGTCTCTCTCTGCCCCACGAGGGGGTCCTGGAATGAAAAATGGTCTGAGGTACTCAGCTCACAGCCTGAGGTGGGGGAGGGGAGCAGTCTAGATGGTCACAGCTCTGTTCCTACGTCTGTCAGGCACAGGAAGTAGGAGAGTAATTTCCTTTTCCCAGGAAGTTAGCTCCAAGTTCCCCTGTGTACCTGCACCGTGCAGCTCAGGATCGAGGGTTGGGTGACGGAAGCACCGGGAGGGTGGGCACAGGACACGGAGTTGTACAACTCCCCCCACACATCAGGGTCCTCCTGAGTCAGCAGTGTGTGGTTTCAACTCACCACAGAGGGAGGTTGCATACAAGGACCAGAAGCAGAAGGGACAGACGGGTTAGCAGGATGCCAGGCTGAGCTCTGGACGCTCATCCACCATGGGGGGGGGCCTCTTCACTGGGGAGAGGGGGCCTTCTGCTTGGCAGGTACATCTTACAGGTTCTAGGCCCCCAAACTGGGCCTCGTGTTCCCCCGCTAGCAGGAAGCTTTTGGCAAAGAGGGAGAGAGGCTCTTGGACCCTTCTAACAGCCTCTCCACCACCACAGGAAGCGCCAGTTATCACCCCAGTCCAAGAGCTCCAGCAAAGTCACGAGTGTGCCCGGCAAAGCCTCAGATGCCGGCACCGCCACCTCCACCGGCACCAAATCAGGGAAGGCCAGCACGCTGTCTCGGCGCGAGGAGCTCCTGAAACAGCTCAAAGCCGTAGAGGACGCCATCGCTCGCAAGCGGGCTAAGATCCCCGGGAAAGTGTAGTGGGCCCTGCGGGCTTGGGCTCGGCCCCCCCACCAGAGGCAGAGACTCACGTGTTTTTATAAATAGGGTAAGCGCAGCCATTTTGGATTTTGCATTTAATGTCTTATTTTGGCTGTGATTCTTTTTAAAAATTAAAAAAGAAAAAAAAAGTTTCTCAGCTGGAAAAGAAGCCACACACACATAATGAAGATGACGCTGAACCCCCAGCCTTCTCCCGGCCACATGACCAGTCTCCAGAGCAGAGGTCCCACCAGACAGACAGGCAAGACAGCACCAAGCAAGGATGTGGCACAGTTTTATGTAAATTGTAAGTCCCAGACGCCCGCCATCAGCTGCCCCATACTTTTTTCTTCCCCATTTTCTTTTTCTCCCTCTGTTAGTCAGACGAGTTCTCGACCTGCTGTGTGTGGTGTCCTCACCACGCGGCTCTCCTACTGTCGACAGGAACACCGAATGCTTCTGAGCAACTCTTCCCCATCCCTGCCATCCCCAGGATCAAAAAATATATATATTCTTGACAAAAGTCTGACTGGGAAATATTTCCTGTCTTTTATTTTAAGCATCGAATTGTTTTAGTTGATTTCAAAAGGAAAAAAAAAAAATACAGAAAAGACCAAAAAAAAGGCCAAGGGTATTGTTGGGCGTCTGTCTAATGTGGAGGGTCTTTTTTTGAGGGGTCTCCTAAAATAAAATATTTTGATAAGCAGCTGTCTTGCCCTGATGGTGATGTTTGCATGTGTCTGGGGCACCCCACCCTCTGTCTACCCCATGGCACAGGGCCCAGCCACCTCACGACACCCACTGGGCCTACCTGGCATTTAGGGGACCGTGGCTGATGGAGGCTGAGGACGTGGAGTCCTCCAGAGACCCCTGTGCGATTCCCTGGGAACTGCCCGCCAGGAACAGCAACTGCTCCCCCACCAGCCAATCCGGGCACTCGGCCCTCTGGCCCCATCCCCCAGGGAGTGCTGCGCCTTGGTTTCCTCGTGGTGGAACTGGCCCTGGCCCTGGCCAGGCTTCATGAACAAAAACCAGTGGCCGCCTTTCCCAGCAGTGGGCCCTGGGACACAGAGGTCAGGAAGGACACTCCTCAGGCCAGACCAATGCCCAGCCCCAAAGCCAGTTCCCCACTCAGAGTCTTAAACATGCCATCCGATCCCCACACAGCTGAGAACATATCTAAGCTTAAGAAGTCCTGGGCCCAGGACCACTCTGTCCACTGCAGAGTGGAAACGTCAGCAGTTCTGAGCGGCTGCCCTTTCTGTGCCCACCACACCTCAGCTCCAAGGGGGCCAAGACCACCGGGGGGAGACCCCAGTGCTCGTTCCAGGCCTTTGTGGGATTAAACAGAGTGTTGCCATCGGCCTCAGGATGCCCTGCCACCCCCGAGTTACCATGAAGCAAGTGCTGTAAGCACCCATGGACGAATTGATTGCCCAGAGCCCACACTGCTGCCCCCAGTTCCGCCTCTGCAGGAGGACCCTGTGGGGCCCGTGTCAGGGCTTCTCACCTGGCTGCATGGCCTGCTGAACTGCGACCAGCTTCCAGGGCGCATTCCACGGTGCTCTGCCCCACTGCCACATGGCGATTAAACTGGACACGCGCTGGGAGGGAGCAAGTGCTGTGGGCTGACTAGAACAGTACAGTTTTCCATTTCATGTCCACATCCCCCCGCACCACAGCACAGGATACAGGATTCTTCTTACATCACGGCGGCCTCAGTCATATGACTGCAATCCTTAAAGACTTATCTGGTTTGCTATCAGATCAAAGCCAGGTACAAAGGAAACTCCCATTCTCTGAATGATTGACTTTTAAGGACACGGAGCCAGAATCCAGGACGCCTCGAGAACCAAGCTGTCCCTATGCACTCTGCCCCCGAGCCGCTGGGCCCTGCAATCCACCCAGTGACTGCCCCTCTAAAGCCAGGAGCCCACCGCACAGATTTCTGCATTCAGCCCTTTCCCAACTGATGAGCTTCCCGTCCCCAAAAGGCTGACCTGACCCTGATCGCTAACGCCTCGTCTGGAGTCACAGCTCTGGGTTCCCTCGACCCAGACTCGGTTTAAACTAGCAGCTTTCCATTTGCTGTCTGGAGTCATGGCTCACCTGTGGGCTAGGCTGGGACAAGTGGGACATGTCCTGGGAGGGGTGAGGCACACCCCGAGCCAACTCTCCGCTCCCCAGGTCTAGTGGAAAGAACATTCTAGGTCAGGCATCTGAGAAAAGAGAGGCCTCTGTTGTGTGGTGGATCCTTGGGTATTTTTGCCCTCCAGGAAATGGGAGGGCTGGGATCCTAACAGGTGGTTAACATGCAAATAATGGGAACAATTAGGAGTTTCTCAAGTTCCATCTCTGCCCACCAGTCTGCTCTCCAAGTGTCCAGGCCACCCTGGGATCCCCTGCCTTCCAGTCCTCACGCCACAGCTAGAGCGGCCTTACCACACAGCAAGTGCTGACTACCCTGCCCCTCACCCCCACCCCTGCTGCTGCCAGCCAGCCTCCTGCCCCAAGGCCTTTGCATGTGCTGTTTCCTGTTCCTGGAACTCTGACCTCGCCGACTCTTGCTTCCCCTCACAGCTCAGGCAGGCCTTCCCCATCCCCTCATTCCCTTCGTTGTCTGCTGCCACAGGAGTGTCTTCAAGCTGTCACCTCGTCTTTCCTCAAGTGTAACCCTGGAGGCGCTTAGCTCACAGCTCTCAACAATAGCTCTTTTTTCTCAAGGGAAGGGGCCAGGTCTTGATTTCCAGGACTCTGCTGTTTTCCTCAAAGCCTGGGCCTCCACCTGCCCCTATGCCACCCCGCATTTGGCTCCTCACCCCCATTCTCTTCCAACCACCCAGCACTACAGAAGTTCCAGGAACTTGGGCTGCAGGACACCAGGCCCTGGTCTTGGCCCTGGGTAAACACGCAAGGACCTCCGCCCTGGACAGGTCTCCACTTACAGTGCAAAGTGCTACGCACACAGGAAAACTGGGCTGTGTGAGAGACTGACCACAGGCAGAGCTGCCTGGGGCTGAGTGGTCAGGAAGGCCATGCCCCTGGGGGAATAGGGGAGATGGTATTGTCACCCCCATTTCACAGATGAGGGGACTGAGCCCTGCTGCTGGGCCTTCCTGTGGATGGGGGAAAACTTTAAACCTGGAGCAAACCCCTCCTGCCGACCAATTCCCAAACCAGACCCACTGAGGCTGTTTCTGTCCAGCCAGGGCTGTAAGGGCTCTGAGCCATAGGCTGGGACAATAGAAGCACCTGGTGTGTCTGTCCCTGCGTCTCCTGTGCTGCTTCTGCCTTCCTGTCTTGGCCTCTGCCAGTCTCTGTCTCTACATTTGTCTCAGTATCTGTGACTCTCGCACCTGTCTCCCCTGTCCCTCCCCCCTGCACCCGGGCCCCCTCCACATCCTTGTCTCTGCACCTCCATCCTCTTCGTTCTGATTCTCTGATACTTTGGGGTGTGGTCGGCAGGGGCGTGGTCTGGAGAAGGCGGAATCCAGCGGGGGCGTGGTTTGAGGAGCAGCCACCGCCTCCGGAACGCTCTGCGGCTGTCCTCTTGGCGGCCCCTTTCCAGTCTTGCCCAATCCGAGACTTCTGCACTTGCCTCATGCGCCCAGGAATGAGGTGCTGCCCAGTCCCGCCCTGCGTCTGTCCTTCCTGCCTCCACGCGAGGAGGAACCCACTGGCCACCAGTTTCCACGCGGGTCCCCTCGGGCGCTATCCAGGGGACTGGCTGTTACGACCCCGTGGAACAGCTCTGGGGGCACCCGGGATGTACCGTGGGGAAGGGTGGGGGCCAAACTGGGGTCCCCAGTTTCCTCCACCCAGTGCGGCACCCACCCACCCAACCGGCCGGCTGTTCAGAACAGACACAGTAACACAGAAGATGCGCACAACTCCCCTGCGGGGGTCAGGGGGGAGGGGCGCTAGCGTTGGCAGGGGGACACGGCTAGGGCCCTCTGGACCGCAGCATTTAGCGCATTCCCGCAGGGTGGGGACACCGCGGCAGCCACTGTGCAAACAACAGTTTTACAGCCTTTTCGCTACCTAATTGAGCACCTGTGTGAGTGTAACTGGGCTTTTCAGCTAAAGGAAGCAATGTAGCTGCCCCCACCCCCACCCACCCTCTCCCTTGGCTCCAGGCCTTCCTGCCCTGCCAACATGGACCTCCACATGGCCCCGTGTGTGAGGCATTGTCACCCCATTTTCCCCAAGAGAGAGTCCAGACTCATCTCTCTTCCCTTCGTTCTGCTATATTTATGGAGCACCCAGGTGCTAGGGCACGTTGTGCTGGGGACACAGTCCCTGCCCTCAAGGGACTCACACTACATTTGGGGGGCAGCAGGAGGCACTAGAATTTTTTTGAGACCTCCCCAAATGCCCCAGCAGGGAGGCAGGTCTCAGCTTAGCCTAAGGAGGGTCTTTCTGTCCACCCGACCTAACCCACAGCACAAATACCCAGCACCTGTCCTGGTAGAGGCTGTACTGGACTCAGCGGTGCCTCCCCGCCCCCCGCAAAAAAAAAGCTATGTTGAAGTCCTAGCACTGGGACCTGCGAGGAATGTGCCCTTATCCAAGAAAAGGATCTTTGCAGACGTAATTAAGGTAAGGATCTTGAAATGCGATCATCACACTGGATGAGGGCGAGTGTCCTTATAAGACAGGCCATGTAAGGCCGTGTGAACACGGAGGCAGAGGTTGGAGCACTGTGTTTACAAGACAAGGTTTCCAAGGGTCACCAGCAGCCACAAGCAGCTGGAAGAGGCAGGAAGGATCCTCACTGAGACCCCAAAAGGAACCAACCTGCTGACACTTTGATTTTTCACTTCGGGCCTCCAGAACTGTGAGAGAGTAATTTTCTGTTGTTTGAAGCCCCTCCAGTTTGTGGAACTTCATTATGGCAGCCCTAGAAAACTATGACAGAGGATGAGCTCCCCGTTGCAGGAGGCATGCAAGCAGAGGGTAGATGGGTGGGGGCATTGCAGGGAAGAGCAGCCCTGGGGACTCTGCGTCTATCCATCCATCATTCAGACTACGTGGAGAAAACAGTCATGACGCAGCACCTGCTTCGGAGTGTTTCCATCTGGCCCACACAGGACAGGATCTCCTTCAGTCCTCACCTGCTCCCTGGCAGGGGTGGAGGAGGGAGGGACGCAGCATAGCCCTGCTTACAGGTGCAGATACTAAGGCCACAGAGGGCAATTCCGTGCCCAGAGTCTCACACTGCTGAGTGAAGATGCTGGGAGAGCCCAGTCACTGCCTTCTCCAGCCCCTCCCTTCTGGGGTGGGGGTCTTCACGTCAATCAATTTTGCATAGAGACCTGCATCATAATGGTGTACATTCTGGCACCTGCCAGCAGGCGAAAAAAGACGGGAAGGCAGGTTGACACCCTCCCTCCACCCGCCAGACCCTCCTTAGCTAGACATTTTAGACTCTAATTTGAGAGGACCAGGGCAGACACGGCCCTCAGCCTTGGAGGGTGGCCAGGGCCCCAGGAGACCCCCAGGATGGTGTCCAAACCTCATTCAAAACTTTGTAAGATCTGGCTCTAAACTCTCTTCAGTATAATAAAGGCACCCAGCACCTTCCTTCCCAGCCAGCAACAGAGTGGGTGGGGCACAGGTGGGCTCCTGGGGCCCCCTTTAAATAAAGCTTCCTAGGGTGCACTACACTTTAAAGTGTCTAAGGCTTTCTCATCCCCGCCATCTCAGACTTGTCAGCTGGAACTTTTCTTGAATAAAACCACAGAAGACCATACAGAAACCTGAAGATGCTCCCTGGCCCCGCCCCCCCTTACCTCTCCTGGAACCTCTCCCACCTGGGCAGGAGGAGGCAGATACTGATATTCACCTGATCTTGATCATCTTAGATAAAAAATGGAACCAACTTCATGTCCACCAGCAGGGACAGGAGAAAGCAACCCTGGAAGAGCCGCGTGCTACTGCGTGGGATGAGCAAGCCCCGCCCCAGGTACCCAGGTTACCAGGTTCACATATCAAAAACATACAAGTGGAATCAAAGATGCAAGTTGCAAAAGAATACTCAACCAGAAACCCTTTTATAGAATGTTCGAGCATGTCACACAGGCAGGATCTGTTTGCGGCTCCATCCACAGGTGCTTAGCCTGGGGTAGGGTCCCTCTGGGTGAGGGACTTGGGTAACAGGACGGTGACAATTCGATGGGGGTGAGAGGGAGGCTGGAGTGTGGGGTAGGCCTGGCCCGGCTGGGGCAGAGGAGGAGAGGACAGTCGTCAGGGACCCACAGGGAGGGGAGGAGGAAGCAGCGGCGGGGCACTTCCCAAGGAGGAAACGGTGCTGGATTTTCCCCAGGTGTGGCTGAGGTATAAAGGGCGCTGCAAGCCAGCCTCAGCCAGGTCCGCCACCAGGTGCACCCCAGGACTATAGCCAGGTGTGTTCCAGACGGCCACCAGGTGGACACCAGCTGCTGCCACTGTGATGGTGAGCCACCTCTCCCCATGCCCCCACCTGGATGGTGTCATCTGGCCCAGGAGGGTTGGCGGTTCCCTGACCCCCAGGTTAAAGCTGTTGGGATGGGGTCCAGGAAGCCCCCCAAGTCTTAGGGCAGGAGAGAGAACCCAGGAGCCCTGGTGTACTGGGGAGCTAGGGCTGAGGGGCTAGCCCCTCTTGGCCTCAGTTTCCCTAGCTGTAGAGGGTGGGCTGTACCTCATCTTTCCACAGGGAAGAGGGCAAGCTGGGGTGGCAGCAAGGTGCCCCCTTCACTGGGCACCCCCTGACCACCCACCACCTGTTCCACCAGCTCCTCCCTAGCCTCCTGCTTCTGCTCTGGCTTCCTGCCAGCCTGGCCCGCCACCGACACCCACTCTGGGGAGTTCCCCACACCCACACGCATGAGACCCCACGCTGCTACTCAGCCGAGGAGCTGTCCCTGGGTCAGGTCCCAGCACACCTGCTGGCTCGAGCTGCCAAGTGGGAGCAGGCTTTGCCAGTAGCCCTAGTGTCCAGCCTAGAGATGGCGGGCCGCAGGAGGCGAACCGAGGAGCCCCCCGCTGGGACCCAGTGCCCAGTGCTGCGGCCCGAGGAGGTGTTAGAAGCCGACATCCACCAGCGCTCCATCTCTCCCTGGAGATACCGGTGAGGACTACAGGAGCTCCCTGGGCGCTGGGATCCCCACTGTACGGCACTGGGGGCCCTCCCCTCTCTGGGCGCTGGCTTCCTGCACAACTCTCTGAACCTCAGTGTTTTCCTCTATTAAATGGGACAGGCATACTGACCTCCAGCCAGCCAGGCCCCTCCCCCGAAAGGTGGGGCTCCATTAGATGAGCGCCTTGCCACTGCTGTCTCTGAAATCTCAGCCCAGACCTTGGGTGTCAGGGTCCTCTGGGAAAATTCTGGGGCCCCCCACTTGAGCCGCTGCAGGGGTTGGGCTGGGCCCAAAGAGGAGGGAAGGGGCCTTCTGGAAGCCTTCTCCCCCAGCTTCTGTGCTCTGGGAGGGTACTGGGGACGCAGGCAAGCAACATCTGTTGAGCACCAACTGCATGCTGGCCCTCCAGGTGTCATGCACCATCCTCCCTGCTGCCTAACGCCTCAGCTCTCACTCAGGCTAGCGGCACCCCTGAGTGCATGGCCGCCATAGGGGGGAAGGAGGGACATACCCCCCCCCGAGGCTCTGGAGCTGGGCCTCACCCATCTGTCCCCGCAGCGTGGACACAGACGAGAGCCGCTACCCGCAGAAGCTGGCTGTTGCTGAGTGCCTGTGCAAGGGCTGCATCAGCACCAGGACAGGACGTGAGACGGCTGCGCTCAACTCTGTCCCGCTGCACCAGAGCCTGTTGGTGCTGCGCCGCCAGCCCTGTTCTCGGGACGCCTCGGGGACACCCACACCTGGAGCCTTCACCTTCCATGCTGAGTCCATCCGCGTGCCCATTGGCTGCACCTGCGTCCTGCCCAGGGTGGTATGATGACTGCCAGCTTCAGCTGTCCTCCTCCCCACGTGCCATGGGCGGGGATCACCTCCCAGACTGGACAGTGGGGATCTCTCTGTGGAGAGGGCCCCTCCTATTTATGTGTATTTATTGGTTATTTATATGCCCTGAGTGACCCTGTTTCTGCTGCCCGGGCTTCCTGAGCAGGTACAGGGGCTCCAGGCCTCTGGTTTAAGAACAGTAGAGAGCGGACACTGGACGGGCCAGGCAACCGTGTGCTGGTCAGGCCCCATCTGGACACTCAGTTACCGTTTCACAAAAACAGACAGTGAGTCTAGAAGGAACCTTGTTCTTCTTCAGGAACTTCTTCAAACAGAAAGGGTGTTCTGACAGCCCCCACCTCGGTAGTCCCCCTGGGCTTCCCTCGCCCTCTCACTGGTCTCAGGCTGGTCCAGGCCACCCCAAGCTCCCTCTTCCCAGCCCCCCCCCTGTATTTCTAAAATAATTATTTATTGTAAGTATAAATATGTTATTAAATGGATAAACACCACCCAGAACTTAGCATTGGATGGCATGGCAGGGGTGAGGCACTCTCCTTACTGTCACCCGTGCCTGGCTGACGGCCAGCTGGCCCCACAGGGGCAGCCACAGCCTGCTTCTGGTCTATCCTTCCAGAAAGTTCTATGCATGAACCCCAGTTGTATCCAGGGTGGGGAATGGGTTTGAACAAGTATAGCACAAGCGTGCGCTGCTGGCCTGTGGTTTTCACCTGGTGATACCTCCTGGTGACGGTATGGGGCCCAGGGATGGGCCTCCCTCCCACAGCCCAGTGGTGAGGCCAGGGTGTGGCCAGGCCTTTGCTATGACAGTGAGCACCCGGGGACATACCTTTCTGCCTCAGGGACAGGCGTCTCTGAGGATACCTCCGAGGGGGTGTCGGCGCAGGGGGCACCTTTGCAGCCTGACCGAGCATCTCCTGGGGTCTGAGTCATGCACTCCCAGCCCCAGCGGAAGCCCAGGCAGTTTCAAAGGCCAGTGCCACGGCCCAGACACCCCCCTCAGGCTTCTGTCCACCGCTGGTGACCTGCCAGACCCCAGGCAGCCAAGCTAGCTAGCACCACCAGGCCAGGTGCCCCGCTGGCTGCCCGATGACCTAGCCTGTGCTCTCACTGCACAAGTCCTGGATGAGTGCATCTGGGTATGTTAAGATTGGAGGCATTTAGTTAAGGGGTCCAGGAGTGTGTGACCTCAGCAGTTGTGGAAGGGGTTCTGGGGCTCAGGGGCTCAGCTACGACCCCCTGTGGAGCCTGTTTCCCCACCTGTGATGCATAGGCCCAGCCAGCTGTAAGGGTTGACCGTGGGCTGTGGGGGCTGCAGGGCAGTTGTCAGCACCTCCCTGTCTGACCTGTTGTTTTCACCCACTGATTAACGCCTACTGTGTGCAAGCACCCAGGAAAAGGGGAGGATAACCTCTGTCTTGAGCCTAGAAGGACTGTGGAATCAGCACATATTTACATGTGCCCGTCACTGGGAATAGAGCAGTAAACAAAAGGGACAGGTTCCCTGCCTGCCTGCATGGCGTGCGGGGTGCCAGGCAACCACAGAATAAGCAGTGAAGCACTGTCTTCGGTGAAGGAATTAAGGACAGTGATGCAGGGGTGAGAGGGGCTGCGATTCCAAACAGAGTCAGCCCCTCTCGCCCCAGCACCCCCACCTGAGCAAAGGCCTGGATGGCCAACCAAGGACAGGCGTTCCAGACAGAGGGAACAGCCTATGCAAAGGCCCTGAGACGGCAGCGTGCCTGTGTCTGAGGGTGAAGGAGGTCACTGTGGTGGAGCCAAGGGAGTGACTGTGGGATCCGGGTGTGGAGGGTGTCTCTCCTGGGCTGTGGAAGCCTGTGGGTTCTGAGCCCGCACCGGGCGGGTCAGCTGCAGTGCTGGGAGTAGCCTGCAGGGAGCAGGGAGGTGACAGGTGGTAGACTCCTGCTGAAGGCAGAGCCCTGATCGGTATGGGGTGCTCAAGGGAGCCTGAGGTTTTACTCACCTTCTGCAAGGCCGGAGTGGTTGTGTCTCGGGGCAAAGCTGGTATAGTAGTGATTGTGGGCCCTGGAACATTCGAGGACCCCCAGTTCTGCAAGTAGGATTTACTGAGAGCAGGTGGGACAAACAGGAGGCAAGGGATTTAAGGATTTTTCCAGTTTGGGGGAGTGGGAGATTGAGGAGAGCCCATCAAGGAGGAAGGGGCTTCCCAGGCAGGACCCAGGAGGACCACGCCAGGCCCCAACCCCCCATGTCTGGCCATCCGCGGTGAAGGCCTGCTGGGCTCCCTGCCCCACCCCTTTGTTCATCTGCTTTGTTGTTCGCTCAGCCCCTCAGTTGGGCCTAGGGGCCTCCAGAACATGAGTCTGGGAAGGTCCAGGAGAGCAGTTAGGGAAACACACAGTCCCTCCTCCCAGGCCCGGAAATTTTATTTCCAGAGTAGAAACTCAAACACATGGAATTTCAGATACTGTATTTTATAGAATAGAAGATGCTCTGTGATTTCAAGTGTCACTGAGAAAGATGACAGATGGCTTTGAATGACATGGAAAGAGGGCCTGTGGTTCTGGAGTGCAAGAGAGGGGGTGCCCTCGGGGTCTGGGTGCCCCCCCCCCCGCCGGAAGAGCTGCTAGAGACACTCAGGTTGCAGCTCAAGGTGCCTGTCACACGACCTCATCGGTTACTGGGATGGGGTTTTCCTGGGGGCCGCTGGGGACCCCTGTTGCCACATCCCCCTCCTCACTGGGCTTCTTGCGAGCCTCAGCTGGAGGCCGGGGTGGGGGGTTGGTGGGCGGCTGCTTGATGGTGGCCCCGACCTGCGGCCGCTCCTTGGGCTTAGGCTCGATGGGGGTCCACTGCTCACCACGGGTGGCTGCCTGTGGGACAGGGAAGGGCTGGGCCCTAAGGGACTCCAGGAGCCACACCCACCCAGACCCTGGGCTCTGCAGTCCCCCACTCCCACCAGGAGACAGGGCAGGACCAACTCTAAATTCAATAATACTTGAAGGGACTATAGCTCAGAGAAGTTAAGTGACTGGCCTGAGGCCACACAGCCAGGACCTGGCTCTGCCTAACCTCATACTGGAGCTATTTCACCATGCCAAGAGGGGCCTCATGGTGGGAGAGGGGACATGAGGAATCCCTGGGTTTCTGAAAGAGCCCCTGGAGGCCACTTCCAGGTGCACATTCCCAGACTCCCCCGAGCAGCAGGACAGAGAGGTCATGCCTGTGTGTCCATCATGCTGAGTCAGGAGGCCAGGTAGCACACACAGAGGGAGAGGCCCAGGGGGGCAGACAAGAGGGCAGGAGCCCACTCACCCTACGCCCACCCCGGCCTGGAGCCTACCCAAGGCACCAGGCCTATTGGGGGGTGAAGAGTGTGCAGCCCAGGGATCTCGCTAAAATGCAGACGCCTAGGCCCCTGGGTCACCACCATTCTTATTACAACACGAGCAAGGACACAGGCTCCTGGCCTTGGCTGGGCCTGCAGGCGGCTGCAGGGACCAAGGAGTCAAGCATTCGTGGGACTGACCATAGTCCACACCACTCACCAGCAGATAGATGGCACTCGAGAAGGCCAAGCAGGCTGTCCCCAGGATGGTGGCAAGCAGGAAGCCAGCTGGTACTGACAGCCTGGGGAAGAGGTGGGAGGACAAGGGACTCAAACGGGCAGTCAGAAGATGTCTGCAAGGGGTCCAGGTCTTGGCAGAGGCCACAAGATCTTAGGACAAAATAGACCCAAAGTGTGCTGTCCCCAGGACGCTGGGTGGAGGGGACATCCAGCCATGCCAAATGCTGGGCTTCTAAATTTGGGCCCCTGCAGCTGTCCTCTGCCTTGACTTGTACCCTAACAACCTTGGGACCCTTGCTCTTGGCCCCCCATGCTGGGGGGAGGCCCAAGCAGCTGCAGAGACATGTGGGTGTTCCAGCCTCACCACAGTCACCACCAGACACGTGCGTGAAGCAGGCAGCAGAACCACTCAGCTGGGCCCCACCAACCCCAGAACCCTGACTGTTCCTGATTTAAGCTACTAAGGTTTGGGGTGAACTGTTACGCAGTAAGGGATGAGGGATACAGGATTGGGGAAACCACTGGCAGTGCCTGGGACCTGGGTTTTGCTTGGAAAAACAGCTGGGCTGAGATGGGTCTGACTTGCCCCAGGCTCTCCTATCCAGGCAGCCAGGCCAGTGGGAGGATCTATTCCAGGGTGCTCCTGGGCCCGAGAGTGGACAGGGACTCACGCAAGGTGCAGGAAGGCACGGACGTAGTAATTCCTGGTGAGGGGCCCAAACAGCTTCACCACTTTCGTCATGTACTTCTGTCCACTAGACCGAGAGAGAGAGGGAAGACAGACTGGGTCCTACTCCGCAACCCCCACCACCCACGCTGCCCCAGAGCACCCTGGCTTCTTCCCTTCCAGGGATCACGGGGCCACAGCAGTTGGGCAGGCACCAGCCTTGGTTTGCCCAGGAGGATAAACGTGTTGGTGCTAGAGCTTCGGAGGGACAGAACCAGGCTCCTGCAGGACTCCTGACCTTGTGTCCTGCCCCTGGGGTGGACCCCAGAGCAGGTGGGGGACTCACCATCTCTCCATAGTGGAGCCCTTTTTCCTCTTCCCTCGGGGGTACTCCAGCAGGCAGACAAACACACCTGCCACACTGATTCTGCAGTTAAGGCATAGCCCAGGTCAGCCTGAGGGGCCACCGTGAGCCTCTCTGCTGATGAGAAATAGAGCTGTGCAGCAGCCGCCTGGGGCCACATAGTGGGGGAACCAGGTGGGATTCCACAGGTTCAGCCACTTGGCTGCCTGTCGTCTGCCCTCCCAACTCCATGCCTGCCTTGGCTTCCAGAGGGCCTGGAACAGCTGGTCGCGCGGTAGGAGGGGACACAGGGGCCCAGCCCACTCCTGGACAGCCCCGGGCCGGCCAGGGGGGCAGCTGATAGAAGGGGGTACATAGAGGATCCCTGGCGGGTGCTGACACCTCCCAGTCCCTCACCAGGAACTAGACAAGTCATTTCACTGATAAGCCTTGGCTTCCAAAACTGCAGCTGAGCCTATCCTGACTCTAAAGGGCCCAGGGATGTGAGCAGCACTCTGAAAACTGTGAAGTGCTGTGCCCCAAGAGACAGTGGCATCTCTACCCCCAGTCCACGAGCACTGCCCCAGGCAATGCCAACCCCGCCCCGCTGCCCTGCCCCATCATGGGGTTTACAGTAGAAGGATACATGGAGTAGGCGCCAAAGTACCACTGGGTGAACTGGCCGGCAGTGGCCACAATGCCACCTGTGATGAGGACTGTGGGCAGAGAAGAAGCAAGTTAGTAGGAGCCTTGCGCCTGTGGGAGGGGCATACTCCTGCCCCATTCCTGCAGGGCTGGGATCTGCAGGGGACTCTGGCCACCTCCCCTTGTGCTTCCCCATCCCACAGCTGGGCCACCAGCCCACCACAGAGCGGCCCTTGAGTCCATCAACACTTTTACCCAGGACGAGGACCCAGGTGGCTACAGACCCCTGCAGATAGTGGACACCTTCCCCTAAGAAGTGGCAAGTGAGCTGGGGAAGAGGTTGAAGGCGCCTCAGGTGCTGGTGGAGCTGGGCCTGTGTCCCGGGAGATGTCGGGGGACACCGAGCCTCTGAGCCCCAGGTAGGAGGCGGGGCCTGGACTCCAGCCTAGACATTCACTCTTGAGGCTCTGTGACCCCTTGTGATTTTTCTTGCTTTATGCATTTAAAGACTATATTCACTGTTCATTTTGTATCTGCTTCATGGATGGCCTCTCCTCATTGCATGGTGTTCCTGTTTGCCCCGATTCCTGTGTTTCACCTTCATTTTAGATTTGTCTGATGCTGATATTCCTCCACCTTTCTTTGGTTAGTATTTGTCAGCTATTCCAACCCTTTATTTTCAGCTCTGTGTGGTCTTGCTGTAAGTGACATATATCTGGATCTTTTCTCCCCAGTAATTTTTTTTTTAAGATTTTATTGGGGAATTGGGGGAGGAAAACAGCGTTGGGGAATCGGGGAAGGGGAACAGACAAATTGCTGTCCTTTTGTTCTTCAGTCTAGTTGGGGAGGACTCGCTTCACTGGTCCATGTTGGTACCATCATTGCACTCTTCCCGGGTGAGGCAGATCACGGTCGCAGGACACTGGACGGCCGCTCACGGCGGCTCTTGGCAGCTCACGCCAGCTGCTAGCCACTCACCGTAGCTTACTGCAGCCCACTGCAGCCCCACTGCAGCCTACGCCTTCACCGGCGTGTCACGGCCGCCCAGCTCCAGGTCGAGCTGTTGTTCACCATCTTAGCTGTAGAGGGCGCAGCGTCACTGGCCCCCATGTGGGATCCGAACCGGGGTCCTGCTGCTCAGAGCTGGCGTCCCAAGCCAGCTCTTAACCAACGCGCCACTCAGCCGGCTCATCCCCAGTAATTTCTTTTTTTTGCAATATTTTTTGTGGTAAAATATATATAACATAAAATTTTCCATTTTAGCCTTTTTAAAGCTAACCGTTCAGTGGCATTAAGTATATTCACATTGTTGTGCAACCATCACCATCATCCATCTCAGAATTTCCAGCATTTTACTGAGGTATATTACACACAGTAAAATATAGAGGCGTAAGCTTGGTGGCTTTTTACGCGTGTACCCCTCCATGACCTCCACCCAAGTCAAGATTCCTGTCATCCCAGAAATTTCTCGTGCCACCATCCAGTCAAGACCAGAACCCTAGATCTGGCTTCTGTTGCTCAACATAAGGCTGTCAAGGTCATTCATGCTGTTTGGGTGGATCACTTTTTCTTATGGAGTAGTTTTCTATTGTATGAATTTATCCATTCTTCCATCTTGGGGAAATTTCAGTTGCTTCCAGTTTTGGGCTATTACGCATAAGCTGATGTGGCTAAATTTTTTATGCTTTAAACCAATCTGATAGTGAATTGAACAGGTTTTATGGACTGTGATTGCAGATAATTGGGGCTTATTTTATCTCATTTTGTGTTTTCTCTTTAACAAGTGTTTTTGTTATTTCTCCTGCCTTCTGTTGACTTGATCCAACTTTAATTTTAAAACTCCTCTTCCTGAACCACATGTGGACTTGAGAATGTTTAACTTCAATCTCATCCCCAAATTACCCATTATTAGTTATTTACAGTCAATACTTAGTCACCAATATTTTCATTTTAGCATCCCAGTTCTTTCTTCTGGATTCAAGATTCAATTTCCCTCTTCCTGAAGTGCATCCTTTAGTAGTCCTCTTGATGAGGGTATGTTAGCAGCAACTCTCTGGATATCTGAAAATACCCTCATTCTGAATGATAGTTCATCTGCATATTGAATTCATGTTTTGTCTCAGCCCCAAAGATATTACTCCATTATCTTCTGGCATCTATTATTGATGAAAAGAAGTCTGAAATCAGTCTCATACTAATCCATTTTTTCCTCTGGTAAATTCGAAAATTTTCTTTAATGGTCTGTAATTTCATTACAATATGTCCAAAAAGGGATTTATTTTCCTTTATTCTATAAGGAACTTTGTGGGACGGCCGAGTGGCTCTATTGGTTAAAAGCTCACTCAAGAGTGCGAGCTCTGAGCAACAGGGTCGCCAGTTGGATTCCTGGCCTGAGCTGAGCTGCCGCTGAGCTGCCAACAGGTGGCAGGACGGCTCAGCTAAAAAAATTTTTTTTAAATAAAAACATAAAAAAAACATATAAGGAACTTTGTTTTCTCCTTCAATTTTGGAACTGCTTACTCATTATCCCTTTTATATTGCCTCCCTCCAGCCTACTGATTGTATCCTCTGGAACCCCCAATACATATGTTGGGTCTTCGTGTACTATTTTTTAAAAAATTTTATTGGGTTAACAGTCATGGTCACTGGTTACACATTGCTTTCATGCTACAATGGCATAGCTGACTCTTTCAAGGAGGGCGCTGCTCACAGTGGCCCATGTGGGGATCAAACTGGCAACCTTGGTGTTATCAGCACCACGCTCTAACCAACTGAGCTAACCGGTCATCCCCTTCCTGTGCTGTTGTACAACTCAACTTCTTTCAGCTACATTCTGTGAGGTTTTCTCAGATCCATCTTCCACTTCACTAATTCTCTTTTCATCTCTATATAGTGTTTAATTCATCCATTAACCTTTAATGACTTTATATTTTTTTATTTCTAGACATTCTATATTAGTCATTTTTTGCATTGCCCGCTATAATTTTCTACTTGAAGTTTTAAACATGGCCATATGTTTAAACATGTACACGTAGTCTCAAGTCTCTTCCAAATGGCACTGGTAGTTGTGGTTCTAAGGAGGCACATTTTCCTCTTTAATGGTATCTGCTTCCTCAAACAGTGGGTATGTTTGTGAGCTGTGCCCAGCAGGATCTGTCTTCTTGTGGCAGCCTGTATTTCCTGGTTGAGGAAATACCCTTACAGAACAGTTTCACATTCGCTTCTGTGGGCTTCTCCAGTCCTGAATCGAGTCTATCTGAATTTCTTGGTCAGTGGTCCTTAGCACTGGTAGGGTAGATTCAGCCCTCACCCCATGCATAGCACAGGCCTGAGCTTCTGGGGGTTTTGTCGTTTGTTGCTTTTTTCATCCAGGCCCTGGCAGCAGATGGCATGCTTCCTTGGAGGAGACTGTTTTCTAGTCTGTTTCTTGTATAAGCAGCCTTTCCTGGCTCTGGCCTGAGGCACCCAGCTCAGTTTCAGCCCTTTTTCACACAGAGGCTCCAAAGTCCCACTGAGTAGAAGGATAAAAACTTGTTGGTCCCAATTCCCCGGGTGTCCCTTCCTTCCGGCCCAGCCCACCACCTTGAAACCTCACTCTGCGTCTGTTGCCAGCAGATTTCCTATCCTTGGAGTTGAGCTCAGCTATACATTAACTCTTTTGGTTTGCTCATCAGCACTTCCGTGAGTTGGAAGAGGGAGGGGTGGTCTCTCCATGTGTTCAGTCAGTGTAAGGTCCGCTTGCCTTTCGGGGGTGTGATTTTTCCCATCCTGAGCCTCAGTTTCGCTGCTTGCCATCAGCAAAAGGGGAGCAAAGACACCACTGGCTGACCAGGGAGGTGTGAGGACTGACAGAGCAATACCATGGACAGGAGCTCTTATAGGTAAGTTCAGGGACAAAACAGGAACAAGACAGATAAGGCCTCAGCTCTCGTGGGGCTTATAGTCTCAAGAGGGGACAGAAATAAACATAAGAGAGTGGTGATCTAGAACAAGAGACTGTGACAGAGAGGTCTAGGTGCTCTGGAAAGACTTTTCTGAGCAGGTGACATGTGAGCTGAGAAATGAATGGCAGAGCCCGCCACAATGCTTCAGCCAGAAGAAACCGCTTCTGTAAAGGTCCTGGGGTACGCCCAGGAAATCTGGGAACAGAGAGGAGGCCCGTGCAGTTGGGATGACAGAGAAGGGAGGAGGACAGGGACAGAACAGTCAGAATCTAGTTTTTATTCTTCACAATTGAACCCACTGGAGGGCTTTCAGCAGGAGGGGACATGATCTGATTAGATGGAATTTTCTACAATAAAAAAGAGGCCCCTGCTAGCATGGCCTAGCCAGGCCTGAGCAGTCTCAGGTGGCTGCAGTTTATACTGAGTCAGGAAAAAAACGTCAGGAAGAGGAGGAACTCAAAGCAGGAATGGCCCTAGAAGACCCTCCAACAAACTGCCTCATTTGATGGTGGAAGAAACTGAGCTGCAGCTTGTTTTAAGTTCTCTAGGCCTCAATTTCACTGTCTGTGAAGTGGATGCAAGAACAGCTCCGGCCTCATGACACTGAGGACATTAGCTAAGGCAAGGAAGGGACAGCCTGCACACAGTAGGCATGCCATGAACGGGGGTGCTGCACCCACGGGGACTGGAACCCACGCCTCTCAGAGAGCTCCCAGTTTGGTGCTTTCTGTCACCTTCTACTTCCTAGGGGTGGGATGGGGGTTGGGGAGCTGTGGGAAGAAAGGTCTGCAGCAGTTTAAGGCCTTGTGGCATGTGGCAAGCAGGGGGACAGCTTGGGGACAACTCCGGGGAGAAGTGAGGAGAACTATCTAACTCACTGAGTTCTCACTCACTCTAGATGCCAAAGGGGATGACCTGCCTGCACACAGAACACACCACTGGGCTTCATGCCCCAAAGCTGCTCATCCCAAAAGGTGATCTTACAGTTCAGGGGCCAGAGAGACTTCATCTATTGGGTTGTCAGAAAAGTCATGATGTATTTTTTTCTCTGTTTTTTGTTGCAAAAATGCATCATGCCTTTTCTAACAACCCCAATATATGTGCTCCCTTCCCTCCCAGAGCTTCACCAGGCTCCTCCTGTCCCCAACTGGGAGAGGGACCTCGGGTGGGTCCTAAAGGAATGGTGGTGGGCTAGGACCCTCCTCATCACTACATTCCCCACAGTCTCTCCCCCCACCCCCCTCCACTGGGTGCAGGTCCTTCCTGGGAGTGGCAGGTCCCCAGAGGCGGGCAGAGCCTTTGGGCAGTCTCCTCTTGCCTCAGACCCCGCCTGGGCCCAGTCTCACCATCCCATCCCTAAGAGGATCCCCTTCCAAGTACAGCACGGGGGTGCAGATCCCACTGTGCCTTCACCAGAGCTCCTGAGCACAGACTCGGGTGACTGGGAGGCTTGCCATCTTTCCCCCAGAAGCAGTCCCTGAGCTGGGAGGGGTCCCTCCGGGCGGTTTTAGATGTCCTGTGAAGCCTCAGGGCGGGTGAGGCGGCCCCTCGCGACCCTGAGGTGAAGCCCCACTCCAGGGCACGGGGAACGGCAGGGGCGGGTGGTCCTGTCAGGTTTTCCCAATCCTGGAGGGTGGTGACTCCCCGGAAAGCACCCGGGGTGAAGGCCTCTTCCTCTAGGGCTGCAACTTCCTTTATTGGCAGTGTGAGGTCCCCGTGGGGTGGAGGGGTGAAAAGGGAATAGCGGAAGGGGGGAGGGGACAGGGGCGCGGGTATCTGCAGGGGCAGAGGGGTCTCCCGACCACCTCCCTAGCCCGAGGTCTCCCACTCCCAGGCATCGCTCCCCGTCACGCAGCTGCAGGTTTTTGCATAAGTCTCGGGGTCCCCCACCCCCAGGCTTCAGCTCCCGCCTGCCGGCCAGCAGTCTGAAGTCTCTGACCCCTCAGGACCGTGGCTCCCCCGCCCTGTTTCCGGCCCACCCCGTCCCTCCGCCTGCGGAGCCCGGGCTCACTCACTCAGGCCGGACGCCAGCGCCTGCTCGTTGGCCCACATGGCCCACTCGATCTGCCCCATGTCTACCGGCAACACGGTTCGCTCGGCTCAGCTCCGCTGGGACTCTGAGCCCTGCGCGCCAGCCACCTCCCAGCCCAAAGTTCCGGCTCCGCCCCCCGCTCCGTCCCCTAGTTCCCCGAGTGCAGCCCCGCCCAGCTCTGAGTTCCGGCCCCGCTCCCTGGACTGCAGGGGACCGAGGCTATTGGAGTGTTCAGGGGGCCTGCCAGGCCCTCCAAAGTTTTTGCTTGCGGGTCGGAGAGGCCCCCGTCTCACCTCCTCCTCCAGCACCGTCTGGCAAACCGCGGGCCCCACCCACTTCGATGCCTGCTTGGTGCCAGTAACCTCTCCTGCCCGCTGGGGCATCCTAGCATCGCTTGAGTGGCCTGGACATGGGGAGAGGGGGAACCCAGTGAGATGGACACCCGCTTCAGAAGGCTGAGTGCCTTCCTAATGCTGAACTCCCGGAGGTGCCAACAGGCGCTTTTTCCGAAGAGGGTGAGGCCAGGTTCCTAGAAAGGTTTAAAGGTCCAAAGACTTCACCACGCCCACTCGGGGGACTCCCTTCCAGGGAGAAGGGTCTCAGACCAGCAGCCTGAGCCTGGGGGACCCCTCCCTGGAAGTCAGTGCCCAGCCCCGCCCCTACTTCCTCATCCAGCCCTGGGCTAGTGCAAATGTGGTGGGCAGCCCTCTGTTCATGGGACTAACTTAGGGGAGGGAAACGGGGTGTGCAAAGCTTCTGGGAAAATCCAGAACGTAGGAGTGCTGGTCCTGTCCCTTTGTCATCTCACTCCTCTGCCCACTCCCGTAAGTCAGCAGCAGTAGCAGCTGACTCTCCTGGGGAGAGGCAGGAAACCAAGACGCAGGTCAGCAGGTGTCCACCCTCCTCTTCCTCTAAGCCAACTGTGCTGAAACTGGGAAAGTGGGGAGGAGTTTGATGACCTGCACACTAATGGAAAAACTCAGAAGTGTGAGCCGTTCCTGGGTTCCAGACCCACAAGCTTCTGGGCCGAGGGGAACCCTCCTGAATCAGCGCTCCTCCCTGCAAACCTGCTTCCCACTTTCATGGACGGCAAGCTTAAAGCTAGACCCAAACCATGTCACTACGCCTGTCAGAGCCCTAGTGACCAAGTCTGCCACTGCGTGTGGCTTGAGGCCCTGGGGGTGGCTGTGTGCTGAATACCCACCACGGGGCTGGGCAATTAAAGGGGACCTTTGGGACAGAAGGCAGTTTCTTCACGGGCAAGTCAGCAAATGGGCGAGTTCCAAGTTCTCACCTCCTGCAGGAGGCACACAGCCCGCACCCTCCCCACCCTTCCCCTCCCGCTGAGTGCGGCCCACTGCCTACACAGGAATGCTAGTTACAAAGCATGCCAGACCCAATCAGCAACGCTGGTTTTATTCCCCGTGGCCTGTTGATAGGGCTCCCTGTGACAATGCACCATGGTGCTGCTCTCCCATCTCCTGTTGGAGACACACTCCTGATCTTTTTATGAAGAAACATGCCATCCACACCCAGTGGCCTGGGTTCTGGCAGAGGAGGTAGGACAACTGTCATGTTCTAAGTCCTTTGTGGAGGGCTCCGGAGCCTGCAGAGGCTGCTCCCCGCAGTGACTGGACCTCCAGCTCCATGGAGGGATGCCAACTCCCCATCATCTCCGGTGGCCCAGCTCCTGTTTCAGTCAGTGGGCGTGGCTCCAGGGCTCAGGGCCAGAGATCCTTCATGGGGGGACACACCGGCAGCTCACCACCATTGGCTGGGTCCCCCAGGTCCCACACCTGAACCCAGCCCTCATCTCGGCACAGCACTGGTGTAGGTGGGGACGGTGAGGCGCTTGGTGGGGGCCCTGGTCCTGACCACCTGGTACCTGCAAGTAGTCGCTCCACTGCCCCCACTCAGCCACAGCATACTGCCCGGCCTGCAGCCAGGTGGCTACCCACCAGTCCCAACAAGCACAGCACGGCCGCTGCCACAGCCAGCTCCCTAGTCCCAGCAAAGCAGCCCCTTCTCCCAGCAAAGCGTCCCTTCTCCAAGTGGTGGCCAGGGCTCTTGTCGAAGAACTGGTCAAGCAGCTGGCTTCGGCAGGCCGTCGGGGCCCAGGAGGTGCGCGTGAGGGTCCTCCAGGATTTGAGGCCCAGGCCCCACCTGGCAGGTAAGAGAAATCAATGTCAGGTTGGGGTGACAGGGAGGGACAGGTGAGCCCCTCCCCCACCGGGGTAAGCGCAGGTCAGAAGCTGACCACCTGGTGACGCCCTGGCCTTGTGCTCAGCTTCCTCAGACAGAGCCACACGGTCTCTCGGCTTCTATCACCCAGACTCAGGTGAAAGGTAGGAGACCGGGGCCTGGGCACCTGCGGTCATGGGGACTTGGAATCGACAACCTGAGTGAAATCCCGGCTCAGCCACTCTGAGCAGGAATCCTGATCCGCTTCTCGTGGGTGAGCCCTGGGGGGTCTTCAGGACCCCGAGCACCTGTCTCCTGCAGTTCTCACATTCCCAGCCCCACCCAGCCCTCTCAGCACTGGGAAGCTGCCCCACACGTCCTAGGGTGTCTTAAAGTGTCCACATTGCGAGCGAGGGAGTGAAACAAACCACAGTGGACCAGATGCCTTGAAAACAGAAGCGGGGTGCTGCTCCTCCTTTTGCTGTTATTCTTAGCAACCCGGCTTCCCGCCCCCGACGAAGTGGGGGTGATAGGGAGTCCGGGTCTGAGCCCTCGAGGCGTGTGTGCTGAATGGGGCCCTCCCCAGGTGTGCTGTGCCACAGGGACCCCAGGGCCTTGGGGCTGAGGGCTGGTGCCAGGCCTCACCTGAGTGGCAATGATGTACTTGATGCCGCCAGGGGTGGGATCCATGCCCAGCGCAGCTTTAAGCTCGTCTGAGAGCAGGGCGGGCCTCACGGGCAGCCCCTTCAGAAACCTGGGGAAAGGAAGGCGTGCGTGGGCTGAGTCCACTGCTGGGAGGAATGTAGGACCCGCAGACCCACACAGACACCGGAAGGGGTACGGCTGCCGTGGAGTGATGAAAAGTTTTGGAACCAGACAGAAATGCTGGTTGCAAAACACTGCATGTACTTAATGCTGCTGAATGGTACACTTTAAAGTGGGTAAAACGGTCATTTTTATATTATGTGTATTTTACCACATATACAAAAAAACTAAGCAGGAAGGACCAAGGACCTGGCTGGGGTCGCTGTGAGAGAAGGGTTTCCGGAAACCTACCCAAGGGTTTAAATTCATCCCTGGCCTGTGGTTACTGCTCCACCCGGTGGGGTAACATGACTTAAGAAGAAAATGCCTCAGGTCGAGCATGAGTCTATTACCATGTGCCTCAGAACAGCAAAACCTGCACACTACCCACTGGGGTGACAAGGGCAATGAGTGCAGGGCTTCCAACAAGGGCACACGTGGCCTGTGGGGTCATCATGGCTGTGCGGTCTGTCCCACTTGGTAAGGAAGTTAGTATTCCGGCCTCCCACTCACTAGACATCAGTACTACCCCAAGTACGGAGACGGAGAAAATGACCCCACCCACTTCGAACACCCATGACAGGAAGGTGTCCCCACATTGAGAAGGGACCATTAAAACAACTGGTAGGAGGAAGTCCAAAGGCTCCGTCCCCACAGTGGGGCCAAGGGCACTGTCCACACAGGAGCCATGACACTGCATGTGCATGTCTCTGTGACCACGGGGCCGGGGTATGTGATGAGGAAGAGATCGTGGTCACAGCGAGGCACACTTGGTGACACACTGCCTGTGGTCCCCAAGGGGATCAACACTTCCTGCGGGACTCCCCATTCAGCACCACGGCCTTAGGTACGGCCATCCCGATTTCAGCAGGGGACCCTGCTCCTCCCCTCCACGGCCTCCCAACTGGGGGAACCCACAACTCACTTGTCTCCATTTGACTCAGGGGGGAAGCTGTGCCTTACAGCGGCCACAAACTCGGCCACAGTGTTGTCCAGGGTGAAGATCACGGCGTTGGGGCCCGCGTCAAACGTGTACGCCACCTGGAACCCATGCGGTCAACATGAATGTCTGCACAGTGGCTCCGCCCCACTCAGGTCTTCTCATCTGCCACGGAGACCTGGGGCCTCCCACCTGGAGTGGAGCAGTGGCACCTCTGCCCACCAACTCAGGACAAGGTTGGGGGGCAGTCCCCCACACCAGTGCTTTAGAGTTTGGGCTGCAATCCCTTAGTGGGTCATGCAACCAAAATGCAACAGTGAGACGAAAACTGTCGGCACGCTGCACACAGGCGTGTAAAGCAGGCTCTGTGAAGCTTGGTCACAGCCAAGCGTGTGTTGGGATACAACATGGTTTTCCTGAAGCTCATGGCCTAAAGCCCACTCCGCAGGTTTCCACCTTGCCTTGGTCTGCCCGTGGTGGGTGTTGAAGCAGTTCACCAGGTGGATGATGCGCCTGGAGATGTCGTTGAGGTAAGAGATAGGCGGGAAGGTGTCCAGGCAGATGGCGTGGAACTGGTTGCTGTCTTTCATGGTCAGCTGGCCAAAGCCCTGGAAGTCCCTCTCTTTGACACAGCGGGTCATCTCCGCCATGCGAGCCGGGACCACTGCCTCGGCTCGGAACTGCAAGGCACAGGCGTTTCCCAATGAGGTGCTGGCTGCTTCACAGCATAGCAGCCAGGGCACAGGCTCTGGGTCAGAGCGTCCCACCCACGCACCCCCAGGTCTCAGCATCCATGCCCATGTCCAGCAGAGCAGATGAACTCAGCTCTGGAGGATGTGGGTAGAGCTTGGCGTGTGTCCTGACATGCATGGGTCATGCCCTGGGGGAGATGGCACCTGCCCCAGCAGTGGCCTTACCTTGAGCAGGGGGCTGGTCTCCACGCTGGTCTGCATGCCCGCTGTGCTGCCAGTTGGCTTCTTCTCAGTGCTCACCTGCACTGAGGGAAAGACAACCTGGACCTCATCCTAAACACCCATCCCGTCCCTCCCCTCCTCGGCTGGTGCAGGCGGCAGGGTGGGAGCCAGTGTCTCCCAACCACGGAGGCCTCTTGACAAAGGCAGAGAGGATGCAGATCTGGGAATGGCAGCATCTACACCAGCAGCCCCCTTGCTGCATTGGAGGCATTCCTGAATGCTCCACCAAGAGTCATTTTCCTCACCCCCCACCTCCCTGCCAGCTCGAGAAGCAGGTCTCTCCTCTCTCCTCCCTCTCCCAGCTCAGCCCAAGAGGACCCCTTGCTCCACAGTGGTCTCACTTACCACAAGGATGAGGACTCGGAGTTCGGGCCAGTGCAACTCGGGGGCCACCTGCCGGGCAATGCTGTCCTTCCCGTCGGCCCGCTCCCCCATCTGCCACTCCACAAAGCCACCATACAGGCTCCGGCAGGCGCTGCCCGAGCCCTGGCGAGCCACTTCGGAGAGGTCACTCTCGACCCCATAGACTTGGGCCAGGGCATAGGCTGCAAGCACAGGAGAGAGAGCAGGGGAAGGAAAGAGGACTCAGAGATTCAGAGGTCAGGTGCCAGCCCAGGCTGTGCTCAGTGCCCCATAAGAAATTAGAAATTCTGAGATAACAGAGCTTCAGCCACCAGCTCCCACAGTTAGTATTCACCTGCTCACCCACACACTCATCCACACACTCAATGTTCTCAAACGCATGCACTGGACATTCCAAGACCACTAGAGCCTATGGAGCGGAGCCACACTTAGGGACCTAGAGGACAGAGTGCCAAGCAGCTGGGGTGTTTCTCTGGGGAGTGGTACTGAATTAGGCTCTGAGGGGTGCTGTTTGGGGCAGGGACCAAGGTACAGAGGCCTGATCAAGGGTCTGATGCCAGGACTCTGATGCTGGGGTCCATGAGGCAAGCCTTCTGTCCCCACATACTGGCAGCCCCTCCCAGCCAGGCTTACCCACCCGGGGCCCCCAAAGATGGTTCAGGCATGGGCACATGAGCCAAGCCAAGCCAGTAGGCATCATCTCTGGGGTTATTATTGGGCCACTAGTCTCAGTGGCTATGAGGACAGTGTGAGCCTAATGCCCACCACTGTGGTGACCAGCTTTGCCTCTGGGTTGGGAGGGCCTGCTAGAGAGTGAGCCAACACAGAGGAGGGCACGCCAGGGTTTCAAGGGAGAGTCTGCAGTCAGCTGCACCCTTGGGATTCTGTTACGTAAGCCAAGAAATTGTTCCTACTTTAGGCTTACGCCGGTTTGAGATGGGCTTCAGTCATGTACAACCTAGAGGGTCCAACACATAGAGTCCTTGGGAGATTTTAATGTTCAGATATATGAGACAACCAAGGCCTCAGCCTCATGGGGTGGGGCTCCCTGAAGACTACAAGAGCGTGAGTCTCCCTCTGGGCACCCACCTAGGCAGGCATAGCCCGCAGCTGAGGAGGCCAGACCTGCGGCCGTGGGGAAGTTGTTCACCGATGCAACATGAACCTTGTAGCTGAGGCTGAGGGGCGGCGGGTCCTTGTCATCAGTGCTCCTCCGCTTCCGGGCCAGGCGGCGGACTGTGAGGAAGGGGAGAGAGTCACTGGGCACAACTGCCCCAACCTGCTCCTGGCATCTCGCCTACCATAGATCAGAGGCACAGCTGACACCGAGCCTCTACCCCAAACTTCTCCTGCAGACCTCCTTGGGGAAAGCCCTAGACCCCAGACACAAACCGGGCTGTGCTAACAGGCATCCCCCCGTCCCCTGGGGGCTCGGAAAGCTGGGTGGAGAGTAATGAGGCAGCAGCACCTGCTGTGCTCTCAGACCCTGCCCAGCAAGGAAGGGACAGACGGGAAGAACAGGCTGGATCTGGTCCCGCCGTCCCATGCAGGACTCCCACTCACTCTCCCTCAGGCAGGCCTGGATGCGGGGCTGGCCCACATCCTCCTTCTGGCCATTGAGCCAAATCTGGTCCTCGGTGAAGTCCTTGCTAATGACAGCTGTTGTGGTGGTTTTTAACTGGAAAAGAAAACGCAGAGCCACCTCAGGGGTGGAGGCCTATCACTTTCTACTCGGGAGGCCTTTCCGGCCACGGCCCATCACAGTTGACCACTCAGGGACGGGGACAGCCTGGCTGGAGAACACGAGGTGAAGGCTACGGCGGGAGGGAGTCAGGCAGTGGGCTGGCTGGACCCTAGGCCTCGTCTCCCTACACATCTCCCACAGTCGAGTCACCGGGCCAGGCACGAGAGGGAAGGGACAGGACCTCAGAGGAGACCCAGGGGCAGAGGCGTGTGCATGCGTGTGTGATGAGCATTCCTAACAGTGGGGCATGGAAGGGACACTGTTCATGGACTGGAGGTTCACTGTTACCAATTGTTAAAAGTTTAGCAAAAGTTTAGTAAATGTTTATCTTGGTGTTTTTCTTGCCCGGCCATACTGACCTGGTCCTGGTGCAACGTGACACTCAGAGAGGAGTTGATGGGCAGGATCAGCTCCTCATCTCTCTTTCCCCCTGAACAGACAACCCAAGACAAGACCAGTCAGTTTGCTGGCCCTGCAAACCAGGACACTGTTGCCCCAACACACCAAAGCCCGCCCGCCCCCCGCCCCGCCAGGCACTCCCCAGTCACCATCATTCCTGTCCTATAATGGCCCCATCTGCCTGGACCCTGTTCTCTCACTGCACAATTTAAATCCTCTTCCTGCTGTGCATCCACCTTCAGGAAGCCCTCCTGGATTGCTCCCCACTTCACTGAGCTCCACATCCCCCAAGCAGAGCTGGAGGCTAGCCATCTCCCTGCTTCATCGTTTCTGTTTTATCTTCTTTCACTCATTCGACAAATCACCTTGGAGTGCCTACCAGGTACTAAGTGCTCAATTGTGAGGCTTTTTTGCCTTCTCTCCAACACGAGGAGCCCCCGTTACTGAAAACACCTCAAATCTCCCTGCTCTTACTCCCTGGAGACACTCGGGATCGCCCCACCCTCACTTCCGCCGAGCACTTCCACTCTTGGCATCTCCTGACAAATAAATGAACAAAGTCCAAATTTTCAAAATTCTTTGTTAAGCACACACAATATGCTGTACTTTTGTGTGGGATCTTTGGGGATAGATTATACCTGGCAGGTGACCTATGACAGCCCAGAAAGAAACCCCATAACTATGCCCAACTGATTTTTGAAAAAAGTGCAAAAGCAATTCAGTGGAGGGACAAACTTTTTGGCAAACACGGCTGGACGCTCATAGGCCAAAAATGAACCTTGACCCAAGTCTCATACCTTATACAAAAAAAAAAAAAAAACCCTCAAAATAAATCACAGACTTAAATTTAAAATGTAAAACTATAAAAGTTTTAGGAAAAAAACAAGAGAAAATCTTCAGAGTGTAGGGTTAGGCAAAGAAATCTTAGACGTGACACCTTAGACATGATCCACAAATGGAAAAGCTAATAACTGGACTTCACCAAAAAATTTTAAATTTGGCTGTTTGAGAGACTGTCAGAAAGATGAAATGACAAGTTACAGAGTGGGAGGAAACATTTGCAAGCCACTTATCCAACAAAGGATTAAGATCTAAAATATATAATGGGTGGTCAGAGGCCAAACAAGGACAGAGGGAACAAGTGCCTTTTTTTTTAATTTAAAGAAAATACAAGATCTACAAAAAAGTGTACAGTATCATTGGCCGGTAGAAAAGCACACCTTAAAACCACGAGGTGTCACCTAAAACAAAAACCAGTGACAACACCAAACGCAGAAAAACTAGATCACATATACACTGATGGTGGAATGTAAAATGGTACAGCCATTCGGGAAAACAATTTAACAGTTTCTTTAAAAAACTAAACATGCAATTACCCTACGACTCAGCAATTACACTCCTGGGCATTTATCCTAGAAGAATGAAAACATATTCATACAGGGCCGGCTGAGTGGCTCAGTTGGTTAAGAGCTCGCTCAAGAGTTTGAGCTCTGAGCAACAGCGGTTCGAGTCAGCCCGAGCTGAGCAGCCGCTG